GTTTGATTGTTTATATGAGATATCAAATTAATTTAGTCTCTACTATCAGTAATACCCTTTAAATTATTCGGGTGTTACAATGATCACAAATGTATGGATGTACATTACCAAGGAAGAATTCTTGTTAAAACTCAACGTGCATAAACAGACTGGTAGCAAAGTCCAAATAAGTGGGGAGTTTAGGCAAAGTTTCTGCACACGGGGGGTCAACTGTGAAAATGACCTTGTTTTTAATTAACTAACTTTTTTTAAGATTTATTGGACTTATTGGATATAGAAGTGTTGTTCAGCCATTGATGATCATAAGTATATGGATGTACATGGCTAAGGAAGAATTCTTGTTAAAACTCAATGTGTAGAAACAGATGTGGGAGTAAAGGCCTAATAAGTGGAGAATTTAGGCAAACTTTCTGCACACGAGGTCAACTGTGAAAATGACCTTGTTTTTTAATGGAACCAACTTTTTTTAAGACTTATTGGATTTATTAAAGAAATTTAATTTTTTCATAAGTTTACTTCATAAGTTTACCTCATAAGTTTACTTCATGTACACTTTCATAGTTTAATTAAATTATAATATTTTGAAGCTTGGCACAGTGGATTTTGAACAATAATAAATTTATATTTAAAATTTATTTTCATTATTAATGTTGTTGACATGATAAAGATAATATTTAATATATTTGTGTGTAAAAAGGATTCCTATCTTCAATTTAAACAATTAATATTTTTATTTTATCATAAATGTTATTAATCAAAAATTTTAATAAGTCAAATAAGTGTTAAAAAAGTTTGTTCAATTAAAAAACAAGGTCATTTTCACAGTTGACTCCCGTGTGCAGAAAGTTTGCCTAAACTCCCCACTTATTTGGCCTTTGCTCCCAGGTTTGTTTATGTACATTGAGTTTTAAAGAGAATTCTTCCTTGGCCATGTACATCCATATACTTGTGATCAACAATGGCTGAACATCACTTCTGTATCCAATAAGTCTAATAAGTGTTAAAAAAAGTTTGTTCAATTAAAACACAAGGCCATTTTCACAGTTGACCCCCGTGTGTAGAAAGTTTGCATGAACTCCCCACTTATTTGGCCTTTGCTCCCAGATTTATTTCTGCACATTCAGTTTTAAAAAGAATTCTTCCTTGGCCATGTACATCCATATACTTGTGATCATTTATGGCTGAACATCACTTCTATATCCAATAAACGGTGGAACAACGGTAGAACAGCGCTGGAATTTGCTTCGTTCATCGATAAACGACGGCGTGCTTCCGATAAAGGGTGGGAAGACACGCGAGCGAAAGGGATTACTTCACGGGACTAATTTTTCTGGGGCTGAGCACGTTCTAATCGGCGGCGCAACGACAAAATGTTCTCCGGTAATCGTTGAACAACGCAGCTTTGCCAAGTAACGGTGGAAACTCCGTCGAGCTCTTCTCGTTAGCGTGGATGCTTCTCTCTCTAGGGTTTTCAATCCAAAATTATGAATACGATTTTCAAATGCAAAAGTGAAACGCGCTCTTCAGACCCCTCTGCATTCAATATCCACATCATTTATTATTTTTTATTCATTTTACACGTGAACCACCCAGAACATGACACGTGGCAGTGTAAATTTTTTTTCAAATTCTGGGTGTCAAAGTATCATTACCCTTTTATTAAACATAATTTGATCTGAACCTTTCCATAAAGTTAATTTTACTATTCTAATGGTACGTGTAAATGTACAAAAATAGTATAAAAATGCAACCGTGCATGTAGAAGGATATATATATATATATATATATATATATATATATTCCCAATATTAACACCAAGACACAACAACGATCATGTTTCTTTTTTATGATTCACTCACTGAAAAAAAAATTTATGACGACCTATTATAATGGATGAAACCCATCAATTATAATAGGTTGATCGATGACAAAATTGTAATAAACAAAAAACGTATTATGACAGAGTTTTAGAAATTAGTCCGTGGCAAACTTGTAAATAATTTCAAAACGTATTATGACGGAGTTATGGACACCAATTATAATATACAACGCGGTGACAAGCTTATAAACAAGTTAAAAACGTATCATGACGTAGTTATAGAGAGATGTTATAATACATTAGAGGGGTGGAAAATTTTGATAATGTATTATGACTTATTTTAAAAAACCAATAATAATATCTCTCTATTTTGCATTTCCCTCTACAATTTTTAGGTGCGCTATCTCTATTGTCCATCACTCTTCTTTCCATCACTTTCATTCACATCGCAAGCCCTAATTTCTCTCGTTGTGCTTTCATCACTCTTCTTCACTCTTGTTCGTTCATCACTCTCATTCCTCTTTTGGAGTTCGCCGGTCATTGAAAAGGAGTTCGTCGGTCATTGTCGTCAAGTTTGCCAGTCACTTTCTACAGTGTCCAGTTTTGTTCTTATTTCGGAATAAGGGTTTTATTCCGGTCAAACAGTGATTCGATTCGCATCAAAGAAAGCTTGAAGTAGGAGCTAACTTAGTTACACTGCACTTCACTATTGTGTTTCTATATCATGCTGGAAACTCAAATAGGATTTTTTTTCCTCCAATATTTTGTGTAGCATATTAAATTTAAAGCTTTAAATTACTGATTAGATTGGAATGGCTATTGGAGAGGTTAAAAATCAAATTCAAGCAGTAAATAACTAAGTGTACTATAGTGTGATATATTATTTAGAAAATAGCATTCTGATCCTAGTGTACAATACTTTTTGGAAACAGATCATAACTAAGTTTCCATAAAATCATTTTTTGGATTAAAAAGCAAACCTTTTAAAATTAAAACAATTTCTCATAAAAAATTATCATGTATATTTCTAATAAATTTGGATAATGCTAAGCAGTACCGTCGTTAAGAAGAAACTATAGATTAAATACAAAATTAAAGAGCTTAAAAATAGTTATCATTCATAGTAATTTTATTCTACCTAAGGATAGTAATGTAAGGAGTCAAAACAAGAATTAGGAATAGTAATGTAAAGAGTGAAAACAAGTTTCATTGCCTCTTACTCACGTAAGAAGTAATAATTCATACATTTCTCCATTTCCAATTAACTTTTGTCTCATTCTCGTTTTCATTGGATAATAAATATACTTGTATATCCATGTCAATACTAATTTTTTTCATTATTTCAATATTAATTAATTAATTTTTATAAAAAATAATAAAGTAAAAATATGATATCATCAAATATTTAGTATTAAAAAAACATATTCAACATCAAATATCTAGAAATAAATTACAAGTATATAAAAATGAGAGTACCAAATAATAATCAAATAAAAGTGAAAGAATACTTTAACCTTTGATTGTGAGAACGAGAGCATTTACATTAAAGATATGAAAAACCGTAATATTTCCTCCTTGTTTCACAACATGAAGGCCGCGACAACTGCTAGAAGCTTACAAAACACCCTACTAAAACTGAAATGTTACCATGGAGAATCTTGCATCCCGATATTATCTTTCAAATTTGCATTTCATAAGGTGATTTGCATTTCATATTATTTTCTAAATTTAAAATTATACAATCTAAAATGTTATTTATATTTTAAATTGTCTTTTAAATTTATATTATAAATTGTATAATATATATGGATTGTATAATTTAAAATATAGATCTACATTATAATTCAAAATGTCAAATTAATATTTTAAAATTTTAGATTGAGTAATCCGAAATTATAATTAACAGACGAAAAAAAAATATGACATTCTCCTTTTCTATTAATTTAAGAAAGGGTACAATTGGAATTTTAGGAAATATAGGGTACAGTAAAAAAGTATGCGGTGCATGAAGAAATAATCTAAGCCCAAAACTAAATTCGGCTTCGTGGCTGGTTCTTGATTCGTGGCGCGTTCTTCTCTTCCAGTTTTGGAGATAGTGTTAATCATGTTAGTTTCAGCCACACACAGAAGACGAAGCAAGAACCAAACCCTTCGATTTTTTGTACTGTTTCACCATTAAAACATAGGAAGCTTCGAAGTTTGTTGTTTCTTACAATGTCTCACACCTTGCAATTTTCATTCTCTTTGAGTGCATTCAATTCTTCAATGAAGGTGGAGAAGATGAAGATAAAAAGACTTAGAACCCGTTGCTTTCGTGTTCTATGCTCTTCTGAGCGCTCCAGTTTCGAAGATAATGCTGATAATGGGGGGTCTGATACTTCTTTTTTGGTTGTTTTGTTCTGCTAAGAAAACTTCAAAGGGTAGATTTTTGTGCGGACAATATTGACTTTTTTCTTAACCCAAAAAATATTGTAGTTTCTAGAGGACGAGGGAATGTGGATAACTTATCTCTTATAGAGAGGAAAATAGAAGAATTACCTTGGGGAAAAAGAAATTTTGTAAGTTGATGAAATATTTTACAGTGACCGATTTCAGTCAAAAAAAATTGTGGATAAGTTATCTGTGACAAGAAGAAAGTGATTATGGAGAAATTTTTTCCGGGTTAACTTGATTATTAAACCAAACTTTTGAATTAGGGTCTGTTTCACTGTTACAACAAGCTATCATAGTACTATTTTATTTTCTTTCTTTCAGAGGTCAGGTTTCATCGCGGGTGATTTTGGTGGAGAGATACAGCAATGGTACTGCGAAGAGGTTTCTGCTCAACTTTACCAAAATTTGGGTTCTGTTCTTCATTTTCTTTTTAAATTCTGTAACTGTACATTCATGAAAGTTTCTGTGTTAGTAGCATACTACTAACATCCTGTAAGTGTACAGTCATGAACGCTAATTCACATTGTACTTCATAAGAAAAATTGAATGAAAAACTAAATGTCTGCATGCATCAAATTTGAACAAAAAGGAAATAGTGGTCTGTGTTTGGTTGTTCCTCAATTTCATAAATTGTACATTGGTTGTCTTCTATAAATCAGGCTTCAACTATTACTTTTCTTCCTCTTATAAGCAGATATGTATTAGGTGATGATTCGCAGTTGCAAACCTTTCTTGTTGACGATGGAAGGTCTACTAGGGCAAACAGGTTTCAGGATTCCCATTCCCTTGATGAAAGACTATTGTGGCTTCCAGACACAATCAAAGATTTTATCCTACCAGCAGGCTTTCCAGGTGGTTAACATTTAAACACTTTATTGGATGTTTCCAGAGAAACTTCTGGAGTTTTAGCTTCAGTGATTATGCAAAGTTGGAGGCAAATAATTTGCTTACTTAACTTTATCAGTCATGATGCAGGATCAGTTTCAGATGATTACTTGGATTACATGTTACTACAGTTTCCTACCAATGTGACTGGATGGATCTGTCACACCCTTGTGACTTCGAGTCTTCTAAAGGCATGTCAATCTTGCACAAACTACTGATTTTTTTTCTCAAATATGCTGTTGTGCATTTGGCATGCTTACTGTTGAAACTGATAATTAATACACTACACAAAGCCCTGTTGTGCATGTCAGGGAGGCTTAATGTCAAATCTTAAAAATCATTAGAGATGGTTTTGTCATGTCCTTGCTACTTTGGTACATTTTCTAATAGTGATTAAATTTTTCTGATGTATTGTTAGGGTCCTGGGTTGGAAACCTAACTATCACACTCACTCGATGCAGATAAAAGAGATGAAAGAAGGGGTTCTCTTATTCACAGTAATAGAATTGTCACTCTACAAAGAATAATGGGAGCATAACCTCCCTGGCTGAGGGCATAACCCCTCTCTATAAGCTAAAACGCCTGACTTTACACAAAGTATATTCGATCCCCTTTACAGAATTACAAGAGCTCTATTTATAGCCGCTCTGACCTGCTACCCCTTACCCTTAACTCCTAAACCCAATCTATCCTATCATCCTAGATCCTAACATTACACCCCGCTTCAGAACAACCTTGTCCTCAAGGTTGGAAACGTGAGATTTGATCTCCTTGCTCCGCTTCATCATCGTGTACTCATATGAATGGCCCTTTGGCAACTGCCCTCCAATTCAGGTCTGGAGGTTTGGGTGGTGCCAATTCCTCCTCCAATAACTTCCATTCATCTTGGATTTTATTAGCTTCCAGCATTCTGGTCACCTCATTTCCAGAATTATAAGCCGTGAGGAAATGGTCTTCGATGTCTTTCAAAGCTTCAAAAAGTTCTCTCCCCTATGCAGGTGCCTCACGAACGGCAAGACTCTTCTTTTGTTCGCTGGTCCACCTCTTCACAAAGTCTGTCCTTCTCTCCCAGGCATTGATTCTTCCATCCACCTTTCCCTCCTCATCCTTCATTCTAATGGTAAGCCCGTTCGGCCAATTACTGAGAGGCTGTTTGGACTGTAAGACCGTTTGGCCTTTGAATGTAATTGTAAGACCGTTTGGCCAATGACTAGGAGACCGTTTTGAGTGTAAAACCGTTCGGCCTTTTATTGTAGCTTTACGAACGTTCAGTTCCTCCCGTCCTCTTCCATTCGGGTCCGGCAATCCTCTCTCGTGCGGATCCGGCAATCCTCTCACGTTCGCTTCCCGACGTCCTCTCCCGTTCGGTTCTGGCAGTCCTCGACTGTTCGGTTCCAGCAGTTCCCTCACGTTCAGTTCCGGTCGTCTTCTCGCGTTCGGATCCAACAGTCCACTGCCGTGCGGTTCTCTTCTCCATATCTTTATGCCGTTCGGCTCCTCCCCCCTGCATGCAACCGTTCGTTCTTTAATGACCAATACCGTTCGGTTCCCTGGTAGACCGTGCATATTCCAAACTGACCCCACACTCTTGGCGGCTCCCGATCGGCCTGGGTGATTGGCCTCGGACCACTCGGCAACTCCCGATCGGCATGGGTTATAGCGATCGGCCTCCGACCGTGTCACCTCTCCGCTCGTTCGTCCCCAAGACGACTGGTCTTCTATGGCCTCGGACCGCTCGACCAATGGCTGGTAGACTGTTTTGACTGTACGATCGTTCACGTTCGATGCTGGGACGTATTCTTCCGCGGTTCCCGACTGCTTACTGGCCGCCACCCTTTCAAAGATGGTACCCTCGTTCCGTTCTCCAAATCGCACCACCACTGCCCCCTTCAGACCTTCCTAAGAACGATTCTTGGCTTTCTCCTTCCAGGCTCTGAACCAGTAGCCAACGCTCCCCTCCATACTGATGTCAGCTAGGCACACCTTTTCCTCCTCTGCCACACCTTGCAACTCGAAGAACGTCTCTGCCTTAGAGACCCACCTCAACGGATCAAACCCTTCGAAAGTGGGTACTTCTACCCTTTTTCTCCAATTAGGTTGGGCGTCTCTTTGGTCTTCATCCAGTTCCTCCTCCGAGCATTCCCTTCTCTTTCTCTGATTCTCGTTAACAGAATGTTGATCTTCATCTACAGACCCTGGACTGCCTTCTAATCCCTTTTCCTGGGTCCACACCCTTCCTCCAAGAACTCGCAAGAGTTCTCTAGTTTCCTGCCGCATTTCTTGCATATTTTTTGTCCATTCTGCTAGCTCCCTTTTCTGTTCGTTGATCCTCCTTTCCCAATAATTGTCTCTTCCTTCCATCACGCTCCTTTCCCCAAGAATCCGGCACCCCTCTCCAAATGGGATCCGACAGCCCTCTCCAAATGGGATCCGGCAGTTTCTTGATTACTTCTTGATCCTTCACCCCCACTCCGATCCGGCAGGTCGGACCAATTTGTTAGGTTCTTGGGTTGGAAACCTAACTATCACACTCACTCGATGCAGATAAAAGAGATGAAAGAAGGGGTTCTCTTATTCACAGTAATAGAATTGTCACTCTACAAAGAATATTGGGAGCATAACCTCCCTGGCTGAGGGCATAACCCCTCTCTACAAGCTAAAACGCCTGACTTTACACAGTATATTCGATCCCCTTTACAGAGTTACAAGAGCTCTATTTATAGCCGCTTTGACCCGCTACCCCTTACCCTTAACTCCTAAACCCAATCTATCCTATCATCCTAGATCCTAACATGTATGTTCGAAGATTATGTCCTTTGAAATCTATTAGGGAGGCTTGTTAGTACTATTGAAACTGATAATTAGTACACTACACAAAGCCCTGTTGTGCATGTCAGGGAGGCTTAATGTCAAATGTTAAAAATCATTAGAAATGGTTTTGTCATGTCCTTGCTACTTCAGTACATTTTCTAAAAGTGATTAAATTTTCCTGATATATGTTTGGAGGTTATGTCCTTTGAAATTTGTTAGTACTTGTTAAGAAGTGAATTTTAAACTTAACTCAATCTTACCAAAACCAGTTTGTAAAGTGAGATTTGCACCAATTTATATACTTTAAATCAGTCTTATTACTAGTCGATGTGAGACTTTTAACAATACTAAACCGTCTGGATCTAACATTTTGCATTTGTATGCTCTCCATACCAATGTTTTCTTTTCCTTAAAATTACTTCTTTACCACATAAATGCAAGGAATGATGACTGTGCTTTCCATCTGTCGTGTCAAAATTTCTACTTAACCACAGGCTGTTGGTGTTGGCTCTTTCTCTGGAAGCACCGCGGCTGCTTCTGCTGCTGCCATCAGGTGACTCAAATTTTAGAGCCTATGCTTTTGTAGACAAATACAACATTTATATGCATATAATAGTATCATAAATAATTTCATGCTGCCATTATTTGTCAATGTAATTTGTATGTTGTAAATTTTATGCTCTTGCTCTATAACTTTAGATGGGTCTCAAAGGATGGTATTGGAGCCGTTGGACGCTTATTCATTGGTATGGCATTAACAAAGTAAACTGAAAGAAGCAAAAGATATGATTTTTATTTTTAGCTAAATGTTGCTCTTTTTGCCAGGTGGGAGGTTTGGAAGTCTTTTTGATGATGATCCCAAGCAATGGAGAATGTACGCAGACTTCATTGGCAGTGCTGGAAGGTCTGTGTAGTATGCCTTGTTTTCCTATGCAAACATGCAAATAAACTCTGGATCTAGAGAGAGAGAATCTTACACTGCTGACATCTCATGCAGCATTTTTGATCTGACAACCCAACTATATCCTGGCTATTTCCTTCCTTTGGCATCTCTTGGAAATCTTACCAAGGTACTTTATTGTGCATCTTTACTCTATTAAAAGAACTACTATTATTAATTAATATTATAAAGATGTGGAATTAAAAGGGAACATCTAATGGATAATAATTAACTTTGGATTAATATCATTTTCTGGCTATCCTTTTCATGGAGTCCAGATTCTCTGCTGGGTTTTTGGTGCTGTCCTCTGCTGAGCATTAAAAGACACTGATGTTGGTACCTTAACTTTTTTTTAATATATTTTAAAACATCAAAATCAGTGCTCATCAATGTAGAGAAACAACACAGAAAAACCCAGCTGAGAATCCAAATTCATTTTCCTGCTACTAACTTTTTTATTGTTCAAGGAGGAAAATAAATAAAAATATGATAGAATTCTATCCCCAAAACGAGAAGAAAAGCAAAGAAGGTAAGAGAGACAGTGAATGATAGGATATGAATGTGGGCCTTAGAAGGAAGGGAAGACAATAATAAAATATAGTTGTTAGAGGGGTTTAGGGTTTTGTTAGGACAGTTAGGAAGCAGGGGGCAGGATAACTGTCCTGGTGGGGTGTTATGTTCAGTTTAGGAGGAGTCTTTAAATAGGGAAAGGGTTGTCTAGGGATGGGACTTTTGGTGATTAGATTGTAAAACAGGTATTGACCTGTGGAGAGGGTTAAGCCTCTATTTTCTTGTTGTACAAACATTCGTTTTGTTAATACTACACAGTTTCATTCATACCTTGCGCCGTTTTGTGTCAAGAAGCAAGTTCTTGATTAGGTTCCTTATCCAGGAACCTATCAATTGGTCCAACCTGTCAGATTCCCAATCGGAAGGGTGACGTACGCACGTGATGGAGGGCAGAGTGTTGGCGATAGAAGGTCAACTGGAGGCGGTAGAGATTACGCTGGCCGAGACAAAGGCGGATACGGTCTTCTTGCGGCATGAGACTGGGGCATTGAGGCAGAACTGAGGCAATGCGCCAAGACATCCAAGCGATTCTGAAATTGTTGGGAGATCGCAACAAGACCCACACGGGCCGCGCCGTGAGGGTAGTGAATCCTCCGTAAATGATAACGACGGCAGACCGGAAGGGGAAAGAGGAAGACAGGGAGTAGGGCGTCAGGACGGCATGACGAATTGGTGAAAACGGGTGGAGCTACCTGTGTTCGAAGGAGGCGAACCCTGGAACTGGATTAGTAGGGCGGAAAATTGTTTTGAGGTACAGAAGGTAGATGATGAGGAGAAGTTGCAACTGGTTTTCATTAGCATGGAGGGATATGCGGGAAATTGGTTTAGGTTTTGGAGGGAGAAAACCAAGAACTATTCTTGGGAAGGATTGAAGAGAGCCCTGGGAATTAGATTCGGAGGAGGGACAAGGGAACCGTTTATGAGAGACTGTCGACCATCAAGCAGGCCGGAACGGTAGAGGATTATGTCTGGGAGTTTGAGACGCTGGTGGGACAAACATCAAGATTCCAGAGGAGCAGATTCTGGGTTACTTCATGGCGGGACTCCAGGAGGAGGTGGGCGATCATGTCAGGCCGCATGACCCACCAGACCTGATGACGGCTATGCGAGTGGCGCGAGATTTGGAGAGATTATGTACAGTCTTGAGAACGGGAGGGGGATCGACGTCCAAGAATCAAGGTTCGTGGGGACGATCGGTGGGGGCCGTTATGCGAGTAGAAACCCATCAAGACACGCCGAATAGAGGGGGGGTCGCGGAAAGTGTAGGGTCCGCGGGGATTGCGGATATTGATCATGGCCGAAGAGGAGGAGGAAGATGGAAGAGAAGTGGAACCTGAGCTGAACCTCGTTAAAATGGAGTTGTCGGCGCTATCTAGGGGGGGGGGGGGCTATCTTCTCCCAAAACGATGAAATTACGGGCCAGATAGGCCGGCGAGAGGTGTTGGTTCTTATCGATAGTGGCACGAGCCACAACTTCATCAGTCGAAGGGTGGCGGAGGAATTGGAGTTGACGGTAGTGGACACCCAGCCTTATCTGGTGAGCTTGAGGGACGAACAGAGGAAGAAGATCAGTGGGTGCTGTGAGCAGGTGGCATTGAAGATGGGGGATGCAGAAATTGTTGAACGATTTTACTTGTTCGAGCTAGGAGGAGTGGAGTTGATTCTCGGTGTGGAGTGGTTGGGAAAATTGGGGAAGGTGACAGTTGATTGGGGTACGTTAACTATGGTGTACCGCCAAGGGGAGGAGGAGGTAACAATAAAAGGTGACCCCACATTAGAAAGAAAATTGGTGGGACCCAGGACTTTGTCGAAAATAGATGAAGTAGAAGCTTGGCTGTTGATTTGGGAATTGGGCTCGCTGAAGGCCCAGGAGGGTATCCAGAATTTCCAGGGTCTCACTGAGAAGTAGAGGAAAATCATGGATACAGATTCAAGAAATACTTCTAGTGATTGGAATTGTTTTGTTAGCCATCAGTTATCAAGGGTAGGAAGGATAAATCTTCCACCAAGGAAAAGGTCATAGTCTCGGCTAAAGATCTTACGAGGCATGATTTCGAGTTGAATAATAATGGCTCTTTGGATAATTCGGGTAGGAGACATTCTTTTACATGGAAGAATAAGAAGTTCCTCACTTTCAAGGAAACAAGGATGACACGAAAATGGTTCCATAAACCCTGTCTCTCCTATCGACCACCACCCAAGCCTCCAGACCTAAAGTTGCAGGTAGTAGCGAGTGGGTTCCCTTCCTATGATAAGACCATATCACAATGCCAACTCAAGTTTCAGTGTTCCAACCTTGAGGACAAGGTTGTTCTGCAGCGGTGTGTAATGATAGGATATGAATGTGGGCCTTAGAAGGAAGGGAAGATAATAATAAAAAGTTGTTAGAGGGGTTTAGGGGTCTGTTAGGACAGTTAGGAAGTAGGGGGTAGGATAACTGTCCTGGTGGGGTGTTATGTTCAGTTTAGGAGGAGTCTTTAAATAGGGAAAGGGTTGTCTAGGGATGGGACTTTTGGTGATTAGATTGTAAAGCAGGTATTGACCTGTGGAGAGGGTTAAGCCTCTATTTTCTTGTTGTATAGACATTCTTTTTGTCAATACTACACAGTTTCATTCATACCTTGCGTCGTTTTGTGTCAAGAAAAAAGTTCTTGATTAGGTTCCTTATCCAGGAACCTATCAGTGAATGAAGGTGAATAGAATAGAAAACAGACACAAGTTACCCATCTCTTGTTTATTTGGCATAATGGAATAGATATATTAATTGCTGACGAGGTTGTGCATTTTCTAAGCATAGATAAATTATATTTAGCTATGCACAGAACGTATAACATTGGCTTTTACTGGATGTTTTATGAAGAGGGGTGGTAGTTTCCGTGCCATTTTATCCTTTTTTGCACTAAGAGTTTGACCTTTCATTATACCCTTTTTTTTTCTTTCTCTTCACATTCCAAATGAATATTGGCTACCATTTTGTTCTTGCTCTTCTGTGCATCCTCCCAAACAAGTTCCTAGCAATAGAGTCAAAATGTTCACTTCCAAGCCCTACTTAAAAGAGGATTACCACATCAAAAATAAGTAGTTATGACAAATTCTTTTTTTAACATAAAACCTTAAAATAGATATTTAAAAGCAGTTGTAATTCTGCACTTAAATGTATGCAGATGGATTGCTTAATATCCAATTTATACATGATTGTGTTATTTTCTGCGTGATATTTAAACAGGCTGTAGCAAGAGGACTAAAAGATCCCTCTTTTCGCGTGATTCAAAACCACTTTGCAATTTCAGGAAATCTAGGAGAAGTAGCAGCAAAGGTGTACTCTCACATTTTAAACTTAGAATTGAAATCTGTAATTTCTGGTAATAGTATTTTGTTGTGATTATATCTAGAAAGCCTAGAGTTTTATGAAAACTGCATTGGTATTTGTTATTCTCATGCTTTCAAGTATTAATTTAAATGTTGACCTCTCCCTCCATAAATGTTTCTCACATGAAGAAAAATTCCGTATGGTGCTCCCTTCATTAAAGCAATGAGGGAGGCTGATTTTATTTCTTAATTTATATTCAGCTTCTTCTTGTCTCAATCCAAAAACTTTAATGAGCCTCTTGGCTGGGGATTGATTCACCAAACTAATCAATGATATATAAGTGTTATTTGTCTTTGTTAAGGAAGTAAGCACTAAAAAGCAGTCAATGAGGCTGATATTATGCTACTAATAGCAACATGCCTTAAGTAATAAGTCTTAATATAATCTACCTAATCTTCATGACAAAAAGAAATCATTACTTATTTTATTTCTTCTAAGTTACATACCAGTTCAGGTTTGCCAAAGCTTTTATTATATTCTTAGACAAATCTTTGAGTCAGAAAGAAAAATCAAGATGTTGGACCTAGAGTGAACTGGTATATACAATGTTATTCACTAAATAGTTGTTGTAATTTGAGATAATATTTTTAGAATCTTCCTAATTAGAGGAAATAGATATATAATCTTTTATTTTATTTTATTTTCCTAGTTTTCCTATTTCCCTTTTTAGGAGAATTAGATTATTACAAATAGAGGGTATCAGAATTTATATTTTATTATTGAGAATAATAAATGAGTCTTATTTTCCACTTGGTATCAGAGCCTGTCTGATCCACTTCCGCTGTCTTTGCTGTCTGCCGGCTGCCATGGCCGCCAGCGGCCCCCTAAAAGTCTCTTCTTTAACATGTGTTTTTAATGGGCTCCAATTACCCTAGTCAAGTTCTGCCTTAGAATTCTGGCCTTTTTTCCAGTATTACCAAATACAGAGTTTGTTTGAGTATGATCAGAATGGGATTCAAACTCATTCCCTTTCAGACCAGTAGCTGAAACTGGTGCTTTAGATATGTTGATGCCTAATCAATTTTGGCTCCTTTTGGCATTCTTATTAACTGCCAGTTGAATCAAAGAGACCGAAAGTCTCTTCTTCGAAGAACCCAAGAAAGGCCACTGCCTTCGCTGCTTACTCCGTTGTGCACCGCCGCCGGTCACCGTCCGCTGCCGGCCTCCGTACATCGCTGGCTACCGTCTGCTAACGGTCACCGTCGCAGTTCTGACCGGTGAACAGCAGATCTGGGTTGTCTCTTCAAGCGCAACCTAACCCTGGTGGTCGACGTCTCAGACTCCTCCGCACGTGCCGTCACGCGCCTCCTCTCTCCGTCAGATCTCGTGTGTGTGTTTGTCCCGCGTCGCTGTCCCGGCGTCAGAATCACATCGCGTCGCTTCCGCTCGACTCGTCGCAAGCTTCCATAACAGAATCTGTGTCTTCTTTGCTTCTCACTATTCGTCGCAAGCTTCATTCGTTTTTTGTTACTCGAGCAACAGGGCTTCGTCTCCGCTGTTGATGCCGTTGATGCGCCAGCTCCTAGTACTACTTCTCCCGCTTCCGTCATCTTCTTCTCCATTGAGAAGGGTTCTCTGCCTTCACGGGCTTTCTACCACCACCAATGGGTTTCTTCTTCCTCTTTCTTGTGCAGTACTGATTGGTTCTTCTTGCCGACGTCTCCGCCGCTTGTGCCGTCGAATGCATCGGCACCTGTGGCCAAGCCTGTCTCCACCATCTGGTTACAATTCCGTGATTCTCTCTTACAAGTGTGATGTCCCCGTTGGCCTGTGGCATGAAAGGGAGTCTATTTTTGTAGTTGTGATGTTCTAGTCAACAATTCATAAGCCTTGTTGGTGGGTGCTTTAATGCCGCTGTTGCTGCAGTCAGTTGTTGTAACCTCTGTAGTTTGTCGCTGCTGTCTCAATAAGCTGCCACATTTTCTTTGGTCAAGATTAAGAGTGTCTCGTGAAGTGCATTAGCCGTAGTTTGCCGTGAGGGGAAATATTTTTCTTCTTGGGCTAGAGTTTAGCCCGTACTTTTGTGATACAATGTAAGTATCACCATTTGGGAGTAGTCCACTAGAGAACTTAGGACCTCCAAAGTGTCTTCGATATTTGGTGTTTTTTGGTTTCTACCATCACTAATGTGAAAGGCTCTCTTCACTGTCAATGCTTTGTTATAACAGCTCATTGAGAGTTGTTCTTTGAGACCGCCCGCTGAATTGACTCTTTCGAAGTTATGGGATTCATATTTGTCCCTCGTACGGATCGGTTCTCACCAGTTCTTCCACCTACACGTTCTGTTGTTCAATCGTGAGGAGGAGAAAGTTCCAGCCGCTGCAGGGTAGTGTAGTTTCTGCAGGTCTATTGTTGTTAGCTTCTGCAGGACAGATGTTTCCTGAAGGTTTGTTGCTGTTCAGGGCAGTTAAGTCCCTGAAGGTTTGTTGCTGTTTAGGATAGTTAAGTCCCTACAGGTTTGTCGCTGTTAGCCTTTTAGTTTCAGCCGCTGCAGGGTAGTGTAGTCCCTGCAGGTCTGTTGGTGTTAGCCTCTGCAGGACAGTTGTTTCCTAAAGGCTTGTTGCTGTTCAGGGCAGTTAAGTCCTTGAAGGTTTGTTGCTGTTTAGGGTAGTTAAGTCCCTACAGGGTTGTGGCTGTTAGCCTTTGAAGGCCTCCCATATGTTACTCATGGAAATCATGTTCTTGAAGTTTTGTTGTTGTTTGCCACTATTGATGGCAATCCCGTCTCTGCAGTTTGTTGTTGTTCACCACTGGAGGCCCTTCATCTGTTCTTGTAGTTGTTGTTTGCTGCTGCAAGTCATCATCCATTTTTTTATGGAAATCTCTCTCGTCCATTACTGTCCAAGTTGAAGTTTCATTGTGCTAGTACGCTCTCGTCCATTGTTGTCCAAGTTGAAGTTTCATGGTGCTAGTTCGCCCTTGTCCATTGCTGTCCAAGTTGAAGTTTCATTGTCCTAGTTCGCTTTTGTCCATTGCTGTCCAATTTGGTTTATTGACGTTCTCTACAATTGAGTTTGACTATTCCAAGCTTGGTTCATACAATCTTGTATGATCCAGCTTGAGGGGGAGTGTTGTAATTTGAGATAATATCTTTAGAATCTTCCTAATTAGAGGAAATAGTTATATAATCTTTTATTTTATTTTATTTTCCTAGTTTCCCTATTTCCCTTTTTAGGAGAATTAGATTATTACAAATAGAGGGTATCATAATGTATTTTTTATGATTGAGAATAATAAATCAGTCTTATTTTCCACTATAGTTTTGTACTTGATTCACCAATTGTCAGTGTACCACATTTTGGAAAACGTAAAGATTTTTCCTCACACAATTGTTTCATCAAAATTTCTCAGGAAGAAGTTTGGGAAGTGGTTGCTCAACTGGTTGGCCTTGCTTTAGGCATTTTGATTCTGGTAAAATACATACATTTTCAGGAGGGTTTTGATTCTTGGCACCAAGACACTGTTAGTTGACAGGTTCCATTATTTTATTTTATATTTGCAGGATACACCTGGCCTTGTAAAATCATATGGTGTACTTTCGTTAACTTGGTTGAGTATGCGAGTTCTGCATCTTTGGCTACGCTATGAATCACTTTCAGTTCTTCAGTTTAACACAGTAAGAATCCACTGTATAATATAATATGGAATCTAATGCATATAAATCTCTATGCGCACGAGCTTGTAGAAAGACCTTTTGTATCGACATTGTATAAGATATTGATTTATAATATCACTAATGATAACCGTTCTGTTTCCCGTTTTTCTTGCTTTGTCCAAAACCAAGAGGGAAACAATCATCAGAAAGATAAAGAATGAATTTGGATTCTATTCTTCCCAGCAGAGATGTATATTTTTGTTTTTCTTTCTCTCTAACATGGATAGGTACCAAATATTTTGGGTATGAGGTTCCAATACTTAGGATCATAAGACTATCTTACAGCTACATCCCTTCCGTTTCCTCTAAACAATAAGGAAGAAAATCCACTTAGATTTGTTTAGTTATTTACCTTTTGTGTAACTATTTGCAGATAAATCTAAAGCGAGCTCGCATACTGGTAAAATCATACATGTTACATTCTACTGTTCCAGGTTACATTCAGACAAATTCAATGCTATGTTGCATCAGTTATTTCTCTTCACGTATGTTCAAATTGCCAAATGGTTTTATTTCAGGATGCACAGATTGCAATAGAGAAGAGAATATATTAGCTTGGCCACAGTTCATGAAGCCAAAAATAATTTTTGGCTTGCCATTGGAGAAAATGGACGGTGTGGAGAGATCTCACTTTATGGTATAGGACCTATTGCTGCTATTGTCACAATTTTACGAAGCAAACCAAGAGGTTCATAATTATTTTCTGTTTTTGTTCAAATAAAGCGCAGTCAGAATCATATAATTATGTTATAATAGAACAGGTGGAGGCACTTCTAAAGTTATATGCAAGTGAGAAATATATTCTTATGGTGAATCAGAAACCAGAAGATTTGAGGTTTTATGTTTCTTTCAAGGTATGCTTTAAATTCCCGTGTGAGAATTAACTGAAAAACAATCTTCATTTTACATAAATTTTATTATTATTATTATTATTATTATTATTATTATTATTATTATTCATGACATGATCATTCACCCAACAACTTAAGCCACTTGGTATATTTGGTCGTTGATAGTATTTATATACTTTGACCAAGACCAAATTCTTAAGAATTTGATCCTTGTCATCACCATTCATTAATAAAAAGTTGAATTTTTTGACAAGTAGTTCTATTCATTGGTCCATACTTCTAGCCCACAAGGGCTATTACGCGTATCTGCTGCATTGTCTTTGTTGCTCTTCTCCAAATTTCCAAAGAGTATATAAATATTTAAAACAGGTAGCTGCCACCTCAAGGAATAACTTGACAACACAAGTGAGGTTGTAAAATAACAAGGAAAAAAGTATTAATGCCATGAAGAAAAAGCACATAGTAGAAGCAACTTGAAGAATCAAACACAAAACAGTAATATGGGGAAATGCTGTCATGTGTCTTTGAGATGGGAATTTTAGAATTACTTATGGAATTTAGGAAAATCTAAATGTTTAGCTGGATAAGTTTACTGTACCTTCTCATTGATAATGACACTGCAGATTGGAGCCACAAGTGTTTCCGTATTACGAAGTGTGTGGCAGACTTTCTGGCTGAGTGAGAACTGGGATAGTGATGTTAATATTTGTGATCAAATTGCCAACAGCCTATTGCAATTGGAAGAAAAGTTTGAGGATTTCATTCAAAAGTTGAAAGATGCAGAATGGGATACTCAGCAATTAAATTTGAAGGTTCCGAAAAACCTCTTTATTGATGATAATACCAATCCCCTCTAAATTCTACAGTGATGAAGCTGATGAGGTTTTATAGTGCAAAATTATATGACCATCATGAGGTCTTTCTTGATAGTGGAGGCATAAATCAAATTGTAAATTCTGTAAGCAGTTTTGCAAGCATTTAGATCAAATCAAGATACTATATTCAGACGCAGACATTCAACTAAGGGAGACATTGTATCAACTCATTAAGTACCCAATACTGTCTTTGATACTTCATAGGGAGGCTCCTGTTGTAAACCATTTGTTCTCAATTTTGTTTAAAATCTTTCTTGTATGCAATTTTTGGGGACAAATTTCATTCATGTTTGGTATTCATGACTTCTGTGGATGTATAAGTTAGGTTAATCCTGCTATCTTTAGTCTAAAGCAGTTCGTTATTCTGTCTTCATAAAAAGTTCATTGGTTCACCTTTTGAGGGAGAAATTAATGCTGATTTAATCAAATTAATTGCCCTGTATAAAGATGATATGGAAAATGAGGGTATTGGGTTTTAAAGCCTAAATTCATGGTTGTCTTGTGTTACCATTTTACCAAATATGCAATGCCTTTATCTGTGAGGTAACTTGTGGACTTATCGTACTTTATAGGTAAAGAACCAGAGATTCTACTATGTTTTCAATGTTTGAAGTTATTATATGCCAACTACAGCTCTTCATATTAATTAATTCCTTCCTTTCAAAGCCAAATCCTTGTAGTTGACAACTTTTCTGGTTTGTGGTCATTCACTAGGCAGTAGCATTAAAGAGAATTTGATATTATGCACTTTCTGTACTGAACAAGTATAAAGTAGCTAATATGGAAATATTCCTAAATAGCTTCCTTCACTTCAATTCTTAGCTCTACCATCAGAATAGGATGACAGATGCTCCCATGCACTTCCAAAGCTTAATTCTGCAGTGAAATTTAAATCTTCAATAAGATGTTCAATTTTGCATGCAATAAGTTATCTAGTCATCTAATGATAATATTTTAGCAACAATCCAAGCATTATCATTGTCTTTGTAGTAATCATTAAATGCACAAAATAGCCTTTCCATTATAGAATATAGTTACTTGGGTGGTGTTACTTCATTCCAAACAAGCCAAAATTATACTACCTGCATTATTGAACATTCAATTATCATCTTTTACTCTATGAAGTAAGCAGAAAAGTACGTATCTGTCTTGAACCGAACCTGTTTTGGGAAATGGTAAACACTAAAATTGTGAAACTATGAAAAAGAACTAAAACAGAAAAGTGTGGAAGAGAAAGAAGTGAATGATGTTAGCACAATAGCATATTAGGAGTAGGGACTATATTTTAGTTATTAATTATTACCCTCTGACCTAAATTTTTTGGGGGAGGCAATTATACTTTATAACAAGCAACAATAAATATTTTATTTATTAAAAGTATTTTTACTACAATATACTTACGTTTTCCAAAAATACATTATTTTTACTTACTATAAAGATACACATTAATGTAATGTGTTTGGAGTAAATTAGAAAAAAATTAATATTCTTATAACACTAGTCAATTTAGACGTTGCTTTGATGACATATTTTACCTTTTAATTAACATTAATTTATAAATTTTACCATTTAAGTCTTCTAAATATATTCTATTATCAAAGTTTTCAATTTGTACACATTTCACTTATTTGTTAAACCCTGATGGTGAGTAAAGAACCATAAAATAAAAAGAATTAGAACACCATTATTTCCCTATATTTTTCTCTAAATGACATTTTTAACGTTCCACTTTTGATTTATTTATTAAAACCTTTTTCATCATCTTGTTAAAAATTAAATACACACATAATTTGAATGATAAATTTTTAAAAAATAGTTGTCAGAAGAAAAACAAATACTTAAGTTTATAATATTAAAACAATATTTGGTTGGACATGTTTCAATCTCTAGTTATTTTTGTTTATTTTTCCAGTCTTTATTGTTGCTTTTCCTCAGTTTTTAATATTGTACTTTTATATTTTTGTTTATTTGAATCAACAATACTTAAGTTTTTAATATTAAAACAAATAGTTCTCTATTAAACTTTTTATATTGTACTTTTATATGTATTTAAAATACCTTAGTTTTAATATTTAAAAAAAAATTAAAATCAGTGTATTTTATAATGACATAAAATGAGAGAATCTGGACTATAATAAACGTTCTTGATTTTTCTAAATTTTCAATCACAAAACGTGTATCATAATTTCCTCTTAATATATAATAATGACGAACTATATGCTCTTGTTATTGCCATATTTTTCAAACTATTTAGGTACATGTGTTACACTGACAAAGATTCTTGTGTAACATAAAAAACTGAAGTTAGATAAAGTTTATGTATACACGTGTCGTTAATATGCAAGAAAAACGATGTTATGTTGATTTTTGTTTCCATCTTTTGGTGTGCAAGCAACACATAACATAACTTCTGTTGCCACCTTTTTATATTATATTTTGGTTTTCCCAATCTCTCTCATTAATGAGGCTGTTACCATCTCACCATCAACAAATCAAAATTGTTTAAAGGGTCGCTTTCTTCAATTAATGATCACTCAACCGTTCAAACACAACTAGATTACGGTTGAATGTAAACTAAAGCAAACAAAAACTCATTATTATTTATCCACCAAACACTAACGCACACGTGTATCAAAATGATACAGCAATTAATTATTACAAAAATTAAAATAATATTTTTATTTTTTTCTACTAAACCCATACTTAAAAGTACATTCCAACGATATCTTCTTTATTTTTAAACCGTTCAAACTTATGTTTATTAGTATAATATCTATATATCATAAATGCTATAATAAGTGGTTGAATATCATTATTATTTATGATAAGGTATTATTATTAACTATGATATTATATAATTGAAGTAAATATTATTTCATTTATAATATGGGTTAACGATTTATATTAATTTTATAAATATAATTAATATATTTTTTAAAATATTTACCACTCATTATTTATTATTATTTATAAAAGATTTAAACTTTTTTTTTTACATACTAACGAATAATTCAAATTATTATCAAAATCTTGTCATTTATTTGTAAATTCACACTCAAAATAAGATAAATTTTTATATTAAATTATATAGTTTATTTTGATTTTAAATCTTTTGACTTAATTAAGTTTCAATATATTATAAATAAATCGATTTAATTTTTCCTTCAAATCAATCTTATATCTCATAAATGTTATCTGTGAGAGTTAAATTTACAACCTTTCACACCATCTTCTCTAATTTTTATCACTAATAAAAATTTAAACAATGTCCTATGTCATCTTCTATATTAAAATCTCTAGATATAATAATTACATGTATCACATTTCAAACAACATGACACTCATCTAACAAAAGAGATTAAATTTATTTTATTTAACAAATATTAAAAAGTAAAAATAAATTATATACCTTAATATAAAAATAAATTACTAACTAAGTCAACAAAATTTGAAAATGCTGTATATCCAATAAACGATAATTTTAAAGATGCACGGTTGAAGAAACGTAGCTTCTTCAAGAATTTTGGTAGATCACGTTACTTGCAAGTATGATCCAAAATTAATCTTTTCCTTTGGGAATCCAAAATTGTTGTGGACAAAACGAAAAGTTGCGTTAGGATTAGATTCCGTCGTGGCGTGAACATTAACTAACTAAACTTTATCCAACAAAAATGAACGAATAAAAGGTGTTGCATCCTTTGCAACTGCTTTCAATAATTAAATTACCAACAAATCATTCTCCGACACTCCAATTTCTTCCTTCGCTTTCGACCGTGAAAGGAAATCCAACATAACAAATTTGGATAACACCATTCTTACACACTCTTTTTCTTAGTACTTTCTTCAACACATTTCTTCAGCATTTGGTGAATTATATGTGGGCTCTCCAAAGAGAATCTGCACCCAAATAATTTTTGTAGAATCTAATTCATTATCTTTTAAATCAAAAATATCATACTTATAACATTTATCATAATTAAAAAAAATTAAATTTCTTTTTTAACTAAATAAATTTATTCTTAACTTAACTTCACAAGTTTATGAGATAACATTCTACACCACTCATTATTATTATTATTATTATTTAAACATGTATATTAATAGATGAGAGATTTTTAATGTATGTTATTGTGTAAAATTAAATATTTGTGAATAATTCACTAATAATGATATAGGGGATATGATAGCCTAAAAAAACTTCATTAAAGTAAAACATAATATCTAATTCAACTTAAAAATATTACTTGAAGTTGGATTTTTTTTTTATCTCAGTCATATATCCTCACTAATGCATTCTAGAAAATTGTGTTCATAAAAATAAATTTGACTATAAAATGTTCATAATAATCTATAATTTTCAATTAAATGTGCTTAATTTTGAGTGAGAATAATGTAACTTAGGCAATCGTGAACAATAAATAAATAAGTAAACACGAAGTTTGGCTACATAGATATTGCTTAACTCAGTGGATGAATTTTACAAGTGCTTTCATTTCAATTGTTAATCTTTGGGAGCAAGGAAAATCTTTCTGGGAACACTAATATGTCCTATCATTTCACTTTTACTATTTCAGTACACAAAAGTAATTAAAAAATATACTATCTGTGTGGTTATTTCAATAGATAAATTTGAAGGAGAGTATGTCAATAAGTGATTTGATTAACATGATTGATAAAAAAATAAATTTTAATATATTAAAATATAATATAACTATTTTGATGTCACAATAAAAATTAATATTATATATATATAAACTTAAGCAACAAGTTACTTATCTAGTTTCTTTCCTTTTTACACCTAAAAACCTCGTTTTGATGAAAAAATTCAAAGACATTCATGCAATTTACCTAATCAATTCTTCATACTTTGATACACACACGAGAATCAGTTATAAAATTTATTTCTCCCAACCCACATAAGTGATATGGTTTGTAGAAACTCAAAAACACAACAAAACACATGAAAATTTTATAATAGGTAACGGAAAATAAAGGAAAAAGAACATTTTTTCGCCATAAATATTTGCAACTTTGGCAAGATGAGATTATTGATGCATCCTGCATTTTCACTCTCACACTCGCTCACAAGTCACGACATAAGAACACAATTCATCTCTCAAATTCATTATACCTAATTCATTTTGTTCTTACAGAGCTAAATATATATTGCGAAGACTCCAAAAGCACTTCGAACACTTCAAGCCTTTGACTCCAAAGGTACTCATCCTCCTTCGGGACACTCGTCTTGCTTCATGATACTCGTTCTCCTTAGGCCAAGCATGAGTTGTGCTTGTAGAAGACACTTTGATGCCCAAGTGTGCAGTTAACAATAAATGTTGTAGTTAATGAACATACTTAGCATACCTCGTAGAATGCACTATTTATACTACTGTTCATGTACCCTTACTTGGATGGGCTTGGGCAACATGACCAAATTACCAACTAATCTCAAATTATTGTAGCGTATTGTAGATAATACAATTAGTGCAATGTCATCATAGTCGAACAAGTAAGGACCGAATACATGTCGGCTTAGTAGATCGACATGTACTCGGCCACATACAACTCTTATCGAATCCAAGAATAACTTGGTCATGTATACATTTGAACAATGCGATCCTTGTTAACTCATTAGCAAGTGTACCAAATCGTATCAAGTAATATAAATTGGTAAGACCAATTATCGTTTCCCAAGAGACTCGTGTTTACTTAACAAGTGTGTAATACCTTAATTAATTGTAACCCTATGAAATATGAAAATGTCCAAAGAATATAAGAGATATTATATCACATACCACAAACACACCGACATAGCAATTTGAAATGGGAGGCCACAACCTCAACACCCTCACATGTAATGGTGGACTACCACTTTCAACTAACTTCATAAACAAGTACTCACTTGACCACATTACATACAAAATTACAAAAAAAGCACAACATTTAAAGATGAAAAACATAAAAAAACACTAACCTAAAATTATGAAATTATCGTAACAACATAACAGTGAAAAAAACCAAAATTGACACACACACTGATACATATTGAAGACATATGCACTTTCGATTGTCAATCCAACTCACTTTACTGCCATTGGAAGCTTGATTTTTCACTTTCACTTTTCTATCAATGGAATCCCTGTCTTCTCATTGTTTTGTCGCAAATAGAGAAAACCCCTATTTTTGTTTTTTATTTTCTTATTTTTCTTATTAGTTCAAATTTCCACATCACAAAATCGTTCTATACCACATCTGCATATATTGTCATGAAACCATGCCTAAGCAATCAATGTTAATGATTTAAATGTTGTAAAAAAAAAGAATTTATTGATGCATATTAACGAATTTAGGGACAAAATTGACACAAAATTAAAAACAGAGACCAAGCTAACACACTCCCACTAAAGTGGGAACTACTCAAGCAATTAAGCCTAATATAAAAAATTGTATAGTAACTAAAAATGTTTAGATTTTTTTTCTACATAAAACTTTTTGCTATTTTATAAAAGTAAAATATTTAGATTTGACTTTATGGTGTCAAGATGACATGATTTTACCATAATCAAACTCAAGTTGTGTCATATTAATGTGATTTTATTCGAGTCGTTGGTACAACTTATCTTAAATCATAAATTTTTTTAAGGATTAAATATATTTTTAGTTCTTCAAATATAATAAAAATTTTGATTTTGTTTTACTCGTTAGTTTCTAAAGTAATAAATTTAATCACTCATTTCTAACCATGTTAAATTTTGTCTCACTTGATAAATTATATTTCACGTAAGCAATTATGTTTACTACACTTGTTAAATAGTATATTTTGAACGATATTTTTTTAAAATATGAAACATTAATGATTATTGAGGATACCTTAACCATAGGCCTCTCCGTTCTCATATCCCATCTCTAGCCATATGCTTTGTTGCATGTGTTATCATCAACTATCGTCACTTATTGTGACGATGTTAGTAACGTTGATAGTGTCATCTTCTCCCTCCACTCATGGGATCTTTTTTCTTCCTCTTCAAAACGAAACCCACCATACCTTGTTGCCATTCGATTCTGGACCACCCTCATCATGGCTCCTCTTTTTTTATTTCTTTGTGCCTCCCCATTTTCGAAATCCCTTGTATTGACTCTCTTTTAATGAATAATTTTAATGAGAATTAATTCTAGCAAAACAAAACAACCATTATACTAACTATGCCCGAAATGGTATCACTTTGTTAATTGCCCCTAACTAACAACGATTTTGTTAATTATTGTAATTATGGTAGTTTTTTTAAAGGAAAGAAACATATAAACTGTTATAAAAAGTCCGAAAATATATTAATTGTTACAATAACTGTGAGTACCTACAAATTCTATGAATAGTATTAAGAGATGGAGATAATTTATTAAGAAAAAGTGTCAGAATAATAATTCCATTCGAAGAGCTAAGAAAGAATTTTTCGTGGAAACGTTTGTCACGGGAAACTAGCAAAATGAATCTTGCATGAATCTCACGAAGAAAAGAGAAAAAAAGAAAAAAAAAAGTATAAGTGTTGTTAGGGTAATATTTTAAACAAACTCACGATCATGACGAGATATACAGCTACTTATGGGCATATGTATGTACAAATACAACACAAACGAGTTACGTGTAGCTCAAGCGAAAACCCAGCAAAATTTCCCAACACCCTTTTACCCTCTCTCTCTCCCATCTCAAACTGCTCAATTTTATGATTAGTTTGGTACGAGGAACGGGTAAAACGAGGTACGTGTTGGGTTTCGTATAGTATTTCCAATAGAACTATAGTGCTAGGAAGAAGGGTCACGGGATTTGTTTGTGGGTTTATCATGTTACTTGTTTGGTTGTGAGAGTTCATCAATGGGGTTTGGTCTGAAAAGGACGAAGAGGAGAGGAGAAGCAGAGGAAGAAGGAAGGATGCGCAAGTCTTTCAAGGATTCGCTCAAAGCTCTTGAAGCTGACATCCAGTTTGCCAACACACTGTAAATTTAATTTTTCCCTTTTCTCTTTCCAATCTAAAACCCAACAAGGTTTTTCTTTTCATTAAGTGATTTTTGAATGCTACCCTTTTCCCAAATATCTTTCTTTTTTGGAGAAGATGCTATCTTTTTGGATTCCAAAGTATTCTAGCTTATGATGGCTGCAGTCATGTATGGAGCTATTTAGATGTAAACTCAGTTTTTTTTTTTTTCCTTTTCATTACAGTTTGGTTCTGTTCATCCTTGCATCTTACAATGTCATCATGGTTTTGTTTTTCTCTTTTATAATAATTTCCTCCCATGCTTAAGCTGGTGTAAAAGACCAGTGAATTGTACTCTTGAAGTGGAGAAGATAAAATAGGAAACTAATTTGAAGGGAAGGAAAAGAGGGTTTATAATATAACCATTAAATATGGATTAAGAAAACAAAAACACAATTTTCTATTGAACTTTTTTTCAATAAAGTTTTCGTTTTGAAGGAGACCGAGCAATTCAATTCTTTTGGTGTTTTCCCATTGGGTGGCAATGCCTCAGTTTGTGGCACTGTCACCTCTTTTTGTAAAGAGGATCCAATAAAATTAATTAAAGTACACCTTTTTTCATATTCTTTTATAATGGTGGTGCTTCTTGTACCAAGTTCAAATTCCTGCAAATTTTCACTTACTATAGCAGACAAATTTTCAAATTTTGAACAGTGCCGTTTAAAAGCATAGCAGATTACTGTGCTACATGGCAATGAGACATGTTTGAATCCTAGCTTCCAATTATTTTTGCATTTTAAAGCTGTGAGATGACCCACCCTTTTCAATTTTTTTTATTTAAACATTATTGTAGTGTAGACTTCTACCATTATCACAACAAAATGAGATAGAGAAGCTTTTATGTGCCCAGTTTAAATGATACATAGCTGCCCATTCTATTCATTGTTTCATCCAATGTTAAATTTGTCTTGAAAAAGGTTCATTATCTTAGGTTTTTAACTCATTCTTTGTGCTAAATATGGTTTTAATCAGAGCTTCTGAGTATTCAAGTGGAGGTGCCAGCTTCCAAATGAGATTGTCCTACAGTCCAGCTGCTCAATTCTTCCTTTTTCTTGTTCAGTGGACTGACTGTCACCTTGCTGGAGCCTTAGGATTGCTCAGAATTCTAATATACAAGGTGTTTTCCTGCTTCTTCACTTAGCTTATTAATATTGCCCTTTTCCTTTAAGCGTACAATTTAAGAGCATACTTCCATACAAATATGATACTATAATTTGTAAAATGTAAGCATAACCAATGTTACTATATTGTGGTCATGCTATAAGGTGAACTTGTTGACTTTCACGATAACTTCCTTAAATTCATAGTAATATTGATTTCTGATTGTTTGATAATGTAGAAGTTTTTACGCTGACAGAGCATATTCATTAAACTCTAATACATATTGGGTTCACTACAGGCTTATGAAGATGGAAAGACAACCATATCCATTTACGAAAGAAAAGCCAGTCTAAAGGAATTCTATGGTAAGTGAATAGCAATACTGGAATCATGGCATGTGTGCATTCATATGATAAGATTTATTATCTTTACCTGAACTTTTTTAGAAAAGTGCTTCACAATCCAAATGTGATTACTTCTACACCCTGACTATAATAACAGGTGTGGTGTTTCCCTCTTTATTGCAACTTCACAGAGGAATCACTGATGTTGAAGACAGAAAACAAAAACATCTATGTGCTACTAAGTATAATCTTAAAGATTTGACAAGCAAAGGAAAGTTTTCTGAAACTGACATTGAGAGAGAAGAAGAGTGTGGTATTTGCTTGGAGATGAATAGCATGGTTGTATTGCCCAACTGCTATCATTCAATGTGTACGGAATGCTACCAAGACTGGTGAGTGAATTGAGACAACAATTTATTGCAGAATACTTTTCATAATTAAGGTTGTGTTTGTTATGCATAGATTACACCGTCTCAGACATGTTGAACATGAATCTAATGTGAGACAAGGATTTCTGATAACCATCTTAAAAGTCACGGTCCCTTAATATTTGGAATCCAAGTGAGATTAAGTCTCATTTTGAGTAAAAATGAGGAAGTTGATAATCATAAAACGATGAAGACTCATATTTATTATCTTAAAATTTTGGATTGGAAGTGGTCTCAGGTTGGATTCAGTCAAGTCGATGTATCAAAACTGATGTGGGTAATTATTGTTGTTTTTTTGTGTTGACATGAATCTGGAGGCCTTGTCTAATGTTCCTCATTTTATTCAAGATCCTATAGCATTCTGTAGTCAAATAATTGTTTTACATCTCCAGAAACATTTTTACTTGAAGTGAACAGAAATATCAGGTCACTACTTTTTTCTTGTGTGAAATGTGCAAAATTTCTGCCAAAAGCCAAACTGTGTATTATCATACCTGTTACTATTTGAGGGCCATTTTTTCTTTCACGTCTAAGGATTCTTGTTTTTTCTGTTGGTTTAGGCATGCAAGATCTCAATCTTGTCCTTTCTGTCGAGACAGTCTCAAAAGAGTAAACTCTGATGATCTTTAGATCTACATTAGCAGCAGTGAGATCAATGACTTGGCTTCAATCAACAAGGAGAATTTGAAAAGATTGTTCATGTACATAGAAAGTTTGCCTGTAATTGCCAGATCCTACATTCACCATCTCATATCATCACCACTAGTGATTGCCAATTAGTAGAAAGTTCATTCAAGCCTATAAGTTTCTAATATTAATGATTCTCAGTTTGTGCAGGAATTTCTCCGTTTGTAAATACATGTTACCTTGTGATCACAGTCCATATTATATACTCATTTCAATGGAATTAAATTAAGGGTTCACCAGTACAAATATTCCTCGTTGTCCATGACCAGAACACCTATTTTGCTTTGCATTTTTAATTTTGGTTTATGGGTGGTGCTAGCAATATAAGTAATTAATTAAAGCAGAACTACATGCTCATTTTCTCCATGTAGGTTTTTTGTTCTGGTGAATGAGACTATTCAATTTAATGGAGGTATCATTTTTATAATTACACACTAAAAATGAAAATAAAAGAAGATGTGAGAAATATCGTTTCTACCCCTGTTTTGTTATGTTTATTTGCTTTATGTTACTGTGGTAGATTTTGGTAGATATTTCTAGCATTCTGTTATTGTGCTAGACAGGCTGTAATCCTCTTTATTTTCTTCTTTTTATTTTGTACAATGTGCTGAATATATATTGAGCACTTTCAGACTTTATTAGATGGAATGAATAATGAGGATTAAGGTGCTTGGCCATTACTCTGTCATGGTATCATCGCTAACACCCACTGCTTCTTCCGCCTGAAGCTTCTTTTTCTTCTTCCTCATTTTCTGAAAATGGCTTCCCTGAGCCATCCTATTACACAAACACCGGATCACCTTGTGAATCCGGCAAACCCACTTTATCTTCATCCTGCAGAAAACCCAGCATTGGTGCTTGTTTCCCCTCTCCTTACGGAGAGCAATTTTCATCAATGGGAACGTGACATGGTCGTTGCACTGGAGACCAAAAACAAGGAGAAGTTCATTGATGGTACTCTTCCTTGTCCCCCTCTCTCAGATCCACTTCACGAAGCTTGGCGTCGCTCAAATCGAATGGTGATGTCCTGGCTCACACGATCCATGACTTCTTCGATCAAGCAATCGGTGATGTGGATGGATACAGCATCAGAGATTTGGAGAGATCTCAAGGATCGATTCTCCCATGCTGATAAATTTAGGGTTTCTGATCTTCAGGATCAGATTCTCGCTTGTCATCAAGGTGATTTACCTGTTTCTGAGTATTATACGAGATTGAAAATCCTATGGAAAGAGTTGGAGCTCTATAGATGTGTTCTCAACTGCAATTGCTTAACTCCCTGTGCTTGTGGACTTCTTGCGAAACTTCAAAAAGAAAGAGAGGATGATTATGTGATTCGATTTCTCCGTGGTCTCAATGAGAGCTATGCCCAAGTTCGTTCTCAAATCATGATAATGGATCCCATGCCTTCGATTGTCAAAACTTTTTCTATGGTTCTTCAGCATGAACGTGAGTTCATTAGCACCAATCCTAAACATCCTGTTTCCGATTCTTTGGCCTTCACTGCAGTTTCGAATGCTCAACCACGGTTCAACTCTTCCAACAAAGTCCCTTTCAATGCTAGTAAGAACAATTTCAAGAACAACAAATTCTGTGAAAAATGCAAGAAGACCAATCACACCATTGAAACCTGTTATTTTCGCATTGGTTTTCCTGCTGGTTATAAAAAGAACAAGCCCAACACCAAAGCTTCTGCCAGTTTGGTTGAAGTAGATTCAGCTGCCTCTCTACAGCACCTTGATTTGGATGGTAGTCCTCCCAATGACCAATTCACTTTCTCTAAAGACCAGTATCAAGCAATTTTGGCTTTGCTTCAACAGAGTAAGGATCACTATTCCTCAGTGAATCAAGCCTCTGTTAAACACTCAGGTATATCTTCTGATTTTATTCCCTGGATATTTGATAGTGGTGCCACCGATCATATTTGTCCCACCAAATCCTTATTTCATAACCTTCATGCCATAACACCCATACACATTAAATTGCCTAATCACACTACTGTCACTGCCAATTTCTCTGGGAATATTCACATAGGTGACTTATTCCTTCTTGATGTTCTTTTTGTTCCTGACTTTTCTGCTCATCTAATTTCTATTTCCAAACTTGTTTCCACTATTGACTGTATGGCAGTATTCTCTGATTCTCACTGTCTTCTTTTCCAGAAATCTCACTTCAAGATGATTGGAGCAGCTAGGAAGATTAATGGCTTGTATTGTCTTGCAGAATCAAATGCTATGCGTTGCAATTTACCTTTCCAAACTGATGTTATCAATAAATCAAATGCTTTCGTTGTAAATGCAGTCAATACCAGTGCACTTTGGCACCATAGACTAGGCCATACTTCAAATTCCATTTTACAATTGTTATCTTCTCAACATGCTGATATTATATACAAGAATTGTACTCCTTGCGACACTTGTCATTTTGCCAAACATAAGAAATTACCTTTTTCTCTTAGCACCTCCAAGAGTTCTCAATTTTTTGAGTTGTTGCATGCTGACATATGGGGACCCTTACGCACTGTTTCTATTGATGGTCATAAATATTTTTTAACACTTGTTGATGATTTCAGTAGATTCACATGGGTTTATCTTCTAAAATCAAAAGCTGAGGTCCAAATTGTTCTTCCCAATTTCATACATCTCATTGAAAATCAATTTGACACTAAACTTAAAAGATTAAGATCTGACAATGGCAAGGAGTTTTTCTTAACTGATTTCTTCTCTTCTAAAGGCATTTTTCATGAAACATCATGCATTGAATCACCCCAGCAAAATGGAATAGTTGAGCGTAAACATCAACATATTTTGAATGTAGCTCGCGCCTTACTTTTCCAATCACATCTTCCCTCTGTTTTTTGGTCTTTTGCTATAAGACATGCTGTACATCTCATAAACAGGCTCCCAACTCCATTTCTCAAAAACCAATCTCCTTATGAAATTGTTTTTAGAAAAACTCCTGATTTTAAAATGCTTAGAGTCTTTGGTTGTCTAGCCTTTGCAAACACTATTACTTCTGGCAGAACCAAATTAGACAAAAGAGCTTCTAAGTGTATTTTTCTTGGTTTCAAATCAGGGGTCAAAGGTTTTCTGTTATATGATATGACTACACATAAGCTTTTGCTCTCTCGTAATGTCATTTTTTATGAGTCTCATTTTCCATATTCTGTTTCTCATCATCATCACACTGGTACTGCTGCATCCCAACAATCATTTGATTCTTTGATTGCTTTTGATATATCTGGTTCACACTTTAATGATTTTCGTATTATTTCGGATGTTATCTCTAGTAATAATGATAATCATGTTGTTGAACCAGTTATGCAATTTCATAATGATTCTACTGATATTGTACAACCTGTTGATCCACCTGGTAGACTTTCAACTAGAATTAGGAAGCCACCTGCTTATTTGTCTGATTATGATTGTTCCACTGTTTCTTTTGCTCCTACTTCTAGCTCCACAGCTTATCCTTTACAATCATACTTGTCATATTCCAAATGTTCTGACTCTCACACTGTTTTTTGCATGTCTTTATCTGCTTTCATTGAGCCATCTTCTTTTAAAGAGGCTTGTCAACATGCTCATTGGCAGCAGGCCATGCTTGCGGAAATTAAGGCTCTTGAGAGGAATAGAACTTGGTCATTGGTCCGATTACCACCAAAGAAAAGAGTTGTTGGTTGCAAATGGGTCTACAAGACTAAATTGAATGCAGCTGGGGTTATAGAAAGATATAAGGCACGCTTAGTTGCCAAAGGGTTCACACAAACTGAAGGCATGGATTTCTTTGATACTTTTTCCCCTGTTGTGAAGCTTACAACTGTCAGGTTTCTCCTTTCCATTGCTGTTTCTCATAACTGGTTTTTACACCAGCTTGACGTTGATAATGCTTTTTTGCATGGTGATTTGGATGAAGAGGTTTATATGAAACCTCCGCCGGGCTTGATTCTTCCCGAACCTCATTTGGTTTGTAAATTGCACAAGTCTCTCTATGGTCTTCGCCAAGCTTCTCGACAATGGAATGCTAAGCTCACAACTGCCTTACTTTCTTATGGATTTTCTCAGAGTACCGCTGATCATTCATTATTTCTTCGACAGTCTGCTACCTCTTTTACTGCTCTTCTAATATATGTGGATGATATCGTTCTAACTGGTGATAGCATGGATGATATTGTTGCTGTTAAGAAATTTTTACATCAAGAATTCCGCATCAAAGACTTGGGAAATCTCAAGTATTTCCTTGGTTTTGAAGTTGCTAGATCACAACAGGGTCTTGTCTTGAATCAACGAAAATATTGCTTAGAAATTTTAGCTGAATTTGGTCTCACTGGATGTAAACCAGCACCTTCTCCTTCAAATCCTACCGATAAGCTAAATGATGATGATGGTGATCTTCTTTCAGATCCTACTTCTTATAGGAGATTAATTGGCAAACTACAGTATCTAACAAACACACGGCCTGATATTTCTTTTGCTGTTCAGCAAGTTAGTCAGTTCATGTCCAAGCCCAGATCCTCTCATCTCAATGCTGTTTTCAGGATTTTGAAATACCTCAAAGGTTGTCCTGGATTAGGCCTCTTTTATCCTTCCAGCAATCCTCACAGACTTCAAGCTTTTTCTGACTCCGATTGGGCTACTTGTTGCATCTCTAGAAAATCCATCACTGGTTATTGTGTATTCTATGGGAATTGTCTTATCTCTTGGAAATCAAAGAAGCAATCCACCGTGTCCAGGAGCTCTACTGAAGCTGAATACAGAGCTTTAGCCTCTGTTGCTTGTGAATTGCAATGGTTGAAGTATGTTGCTGATGATTTATGCCTTAAAATTCCAAGTCCTTTTCCTACATTTTGTGATAATCAGTCTGCCATTCAACTGGCTAAGAATCCATCCTTTCATGAACGCACCAAACATATTGAAGTGGATTGTCATCTTATTCGTGCTAAGGTTCTTGATGGACTCATTGTTCTTTCTCATGTTCCTTCGAAGCATCAATTGGCAGATATGTTTACTAAGTCACTTTATCCTGGACCTTTCAACATCAATTTATCCAAGATGGGATTGCTAAACATTCACCACCCATCTTGAGGGAGGGTGTGAGAAATATCGTTTCTACCCCTGTTTTGTTATGTTTATTTGCTTTCTGTTACTGTGGTAGATTTTGGTAGATATTTCTAGCATTCTGTTATTGTGCTAGACAGGCTGTAATCCTCTTTATTTTCTTCTTTTTATTTTGTACAATGTGCTGAATATATATTGAGCACTTTCAGACT